AACAGGTTCCCGCTGAGTGTAAAACCACAACTGTAAATCAGAACCCTGCAAAGCTCGAACGTTGAGGCGAATATAAAAGCTAATTCCTGTCAGATCTCCTCAGGGAACAGATGGAGGGGATCAGGACACGGCAAACCAGGGAAATGTTTGGGATCAATTTGGTGGTATCTTCTACTGCCAATACGCCCTCGGGTTTATTCCCATATCTGCTCCTCTTGTTATATTTCCTCAGAAATGTTTCCTCGAGGGATTCATTGAAGGTAAGATGCTCAGAGTCCATATTTAACCTTAAATAGCTTCTGATAAACTCTCAGTTCCAGCTACAATAATATCTCTCTGCTGCGCTCACTGAAGTTAAACTCATTAGTCGCCTGAAGGAGGTTGAAATGGAAATAAAAACTTCATATTATATTAAATCTTCTGCCATCGATGTGAACGCTGTGGAAGAGTTTGTTTGTCTCCCACAGGAAGCTGCTGTAATCTTTAACATTGGTATGTCAGACTGTCAGCAGACGGTTCATCAGTGGACTCAAAGTGCCGCCATGTTGGAAGACTGACAGCTAAACAAGTGACTGTAATGCCGTCATAAATCATTTCTGTGGGTTTCTTAACACAGAGCAACGTTACCTGTACCTGTTCAACCATGAACATCATCCAACCAACGGTAGTGGGAATGGGCGGGGCTTAAACTGGACATTGATTGAACTGGGACTAACGGGAAGTGGTTCATTTGAGCCTCAAACTGTGAGTTGTTCATATTTATTAGAAAACTGTACTGAACTGAAGCTTCAGAAAAAGAGTAAGAGATTGATTTAGAAAATTTAGAAAAATTTAGTTTTTTTTTTATTAAAAGTGGAGGAAACATTCATTATCTGTTTTTAAAACCTCCAGAAATCATCTGAGAATATTATTCTTTTATTATGTTGACATACGTATTTCTGATAAGCCCTCCACCCACCCCCCACCCTGGTGAACCTCCCTGCTGTCTGAACTAATGGCAGCGAGTGTTTGTGTTGAGATCATGAAGGCAGTGAGTTTATAATCCTCTGGGTGGGTCATAATCCAGCAGCTTTCTGTGAGCACGCTGCTGAAATGTCAGTCAGCGTGCTCTGAGTGGTGCACCTGCTCACACACACACACACACACACACACACACACACACACACACACACACACACACACACACACACACACACACACACAGTCTCACACAGTCTCACACACACACACCCACACCCACCCACACACACACACACACACACACTCACACACACACACACACACAGTCTCACACACACACACACACACACACAGACACACTCACACACACACACACACACACACACACAGTCTCACACACACACACACACACACACACACTCACACACACACACACACACAGTCTCACACACACACACACACACACAGTCTCACACACACACACACACACACACACACACACACACACACACACACAGTCTCTCTCTCTCACACACACACACACACACACACACACAGTCTCACACACACACACACACACACACACACACACACACACACACAGTACCCTTTAAACACACACTTATTTCCTCTTTTTTAAGCTTGTTTCACTTGAACCATAAATTATTCAAACAGGGGATCACTTAAATATTCACCACTCCCCAAAACAACACAGATGAGGCTTCAAGGCCACATTTAAGAACTACTGCCAGGCTAGCTTTGAAGTCCTAAACAGTGGCTAGCTAATGCTAACATGTTCGATCAGTGTGCACGAATCAAAATGTCCTCCCGGGCCACTCCTCAGAGCCACGGGCATCCTAGGCGACGTTGTTATCAGGAGCAAAAAGTTTAGTTTTTAAGTGGTTTTAGCGAGCACGAGGTAATTAAAGGATTCCTCATAAATCCCTCCGGAGATAGGCGTAGGCAGAGGAGGGGATTAATTACAAATCAGAGCGAGGAAGGAGGGAGAACACAGGAGGAGAGAGAGAGATGAAATGAGAGAGGCAAAATGTATGCAAGGACAAAACAAACAGATGCAGAAAGTGTCGTAAAAAAGACGAGAAGGAGGTGAAATGGGGTGAAGACGAGGAGTCGGAGGAGTAGGTAAAAGAAGAAGAGGAAGGTCAAGGAGGTGATGGCGGTGAGAGAATACAAGACGGAGGAAGATACAGAGCACGCACATCAGGATAAAAGCACAGAAATATCAAGATGGCGGAGCTTGAACCAGAATCAGAGAGCTGTTAGCTTCCTGTGAAACCAGGGAGGGACTCAACACAGACAATGAATATTAGCTCTGTGCGAGTAAAGGATGAAGACTGAGTGAGTTTAAATATAAAAACACAAAGAAATGTCAGTTGTTTGCCATCCATTGTTAAATAGGGTTCAATAGACTGAGGATGTGATCTTAAAGGGCTAAACAGACTGATGGTGACACATTACAGATCTAAAGCAGAGACACTGAACATTTCTTAGCAACCAATAAGTGTGTCATTCAGGCTCAGATGATGTGTGTGTGTGTGTGTGTGAGCAGTGCTATTTTAAACTGCAGAGGACAGATGGGGTAAAGAGGAATTCTTCACAAAGACAAATTGGATGGTTGGGCAGTTCTCGCTGTGGGCGAATCACATTAGTACAATATCAGAGTGGAGGTCCAAATTTACTTCAGTCTGATAATGAATCATTAGTAATGAAGCGAGGGAGGTTATTTTAGTGAAGAGCAGTGGTGTCTCTCATTGTTAGGAGGACATTTTGTTGTTTATGAAGCAGAACAAACTCGTCTGAAATGAACTGTACAAACTGTCAACACTTATATAAAGATTTAACAGAACATATGAAACTTTTCAAATGTTCACAATGAAATTAAAGGGCCACTCTGCTGATTAAGATACTTGCATGCTATGGGTTGCATTATGGGAAATGTAGGATCCTCCTAAGCTCCTATCTGGATAAAATGCAGCTTTACACTCATACTCAGCGTCAGGGAAGCTTCAGGCTACAAATAACCTCGCTCTGAAAGAAGAACTACTGTCCTCACTGTATATCCCACAGTGGGAAGCTTACAGATTGTGATTGTGTATCTGGACGTAGCTGTTAGCCGTGCCGCTGTTAGGTGACGTTAGCGCTGCTCTTACAGGGCTCTATGACTGTGGAGCTGTGTTTTAATTGTGCTGACAGAAGGATTCACACTTAAAGCCCCGTCACCCATGAGATTTCTGTTCGCCTCCACAAAGTGTTCGTACCGTGTTCAGATCAGCACAGACTCAAAGTGGATTAAACGAATGTCACTGGCCACAAATGAACAGCTGCTGTATCAGATTCATCCCGGAAAATGTTCGATATGTCAGAAAGCAAATGTCACATTCAAATAAAAAACCCTCCTGACTCTCCTGCAGCTCTCCTCTGTAACACTAATGTAAAAGGAACTTTATTTTGACAGTAATGTGACATCGTCTTCCTCTTTCTGCTCTATTCTTTACCGTTTGGCTTTGAGTCATCTCACTCTACAGAGTTTTAAAGCTAGAGAGGAGATGCTGGTATCATATCAGTACCAACCATGTAATGCTACCATGTCCAGAAGGCTAAATAACTCCAGAATGAGGCTAGATTTTGGACAATCTAAGATGTCTGAATGAAACCCACAAGCCTCCCTGTGCAGTCACGTTTTTGCCCGGTGTATTTAGTTATTCTTGTATACTGGTCCTTTCTCGCCTTCTCATGAGCAGTTTGGTCTTTTTCCCTCCTTTCATCCTCCAGTTACCGCACACACCTGGTCCTGGCTCCGTCACAGTGTTTAATGAGGTCTTCTGGACCGAGCAGTGCTACTAGAGTCGTCCTCCTCCAGGTTTCTACCAGCAGATCCCTGCTGACAGTCCCACAGTGCTCCACACTCGTCTCTTTCCAGAACTTGATCCTGCAGCTGTAAACAAAAACCCTGATTCCCTGATATCAACTAATTCCTCTCTCGTCTGACATTTCCTCCACACTTTCCCCAACCGAGACCAACGTAGCTGCTTCGGTCTAACGTTGTTTTAAATCGACACTGATGTCCAGAGTGGATTCACAAACTACGATGTGGGGTGACACTGAGACATCCTGTCTACTGGCAACCAGATTTTTATCTTACTGGATGCTCTGATAATGTTCCAAAACTCGGCCTCCGCAGAACTTAGGAGGAAATGTTGTTTTGTTCTCCTCCCACCTTCCAACCTGTCTGAAAGCTTCCGTACACATCACCCCAACCACACCTTCACAGACTGATCTCTGGCACATCTGGGTCCGCTTGGAATATCCTCAGGACCGTCCATTGAGACCTGCAACTGCTTTTTAGGATCCAGTGGGGACGAGATTCTCTTGATGTTCTCCATTAATGCTCAGATATCTTCCCTTCATGTCACATTCATCCAAAGGCACAGTATATGTAGTGAAACATACAAGGAAAGCCTGTATTTGAGTTCAGGGACTTTAAAGAGCTCAACAGAAGGACTGGTTCCCAAATGCAGTTATTAGTGTAACATTTAGAAACATGAAATAAAATAATGCAATATCATTTTGTCCCTAACTGTTGGCAGCGTCCACAGGACCAGCTGGGCACCGATGTTAATGAAGTCCTGTGTCAGTTCGATGAACCCGTCTCCAGACTTAGATCTAAACCATCTGATGTCCCGGCACAGCTTACTGGGTTACAGCGTTCTGGTCTTCCTGTAGTGGCGGTCTGAGAGTTGTGTTCTTGGACAGGTTCCTGCAGCTGTACGCTTCCTCAGAGAGGATGTGTGAGCCTGCGGCTTTCACAATAACAGACAATCCTGGCGGCTGATTAGGCCTGATGGTATTTCACTGATTCAAATGTTACATAACCTGCAGTCGGTTTCATTGCTGATTTCAGCCCGCTCGCAATTAATTCATCCTTCCCTGTGACTTTATATGAATATATTATTTACCCATTACAGACACGGTTGCAGGACTCGACCCTGAAGACTAATAAATAAAACTCTTACACAGGAAACGCTTCATCTCCAGGTTTTACTTGATTTGAAAGCAGGAGACAGAAACCTGCTGTTCCACACAGGTGACATAGAAAAGAAACCATCAAACATCAAACTCCAGAACAGACACCAGTTCATGGACAGAAACAAACTTCTGTTTAAACGCAGGTTGAGTTTCAAATAAGAGTTCGGTTGTGGATCCAGAGCTACATCAGCAGGAAGGTGGATGGCCGTCACATCATCTGCTGAACCTTCCTGTGTAAACGCAGGTTGCTAAAAGCAGCCGCCTGCTGAGCTAATACGTCTCTTACTTCATTACTGTTGTTTACAGCAGCGTCTGTTGTCTGACTCCTCTCACCTGCTGTTGTAAATAACAGCTGTGTTGGCGATAAATATCCTCCCTGCTGCGTGCTTCGGCTGAACATCTCTTTTATTTCTTCACATAACAGCTCGAGGTCCGGACCACGTTTAGTGCAACGAGCATCTCTTCCTTTAGTGCAGCCTGAGCTAGCTTTAGCCTTCTGCAGCCACTGCTCCCAAAGTTCACACTGAAGTCATTTATAGTATAAAAATGTAACATTATTATTAAAAGGTTATTACCTAGTAAAACTATAAACCCTTCACAAGCTCCATCCTGTAAATGGATGTTTGGCATCTTAGAGGTGAAGTCCTCTTTAACATTTAGAGGAAACATCAGCGTACGAGATATTGTTTTTCTTTATCCCTTTCTTTAATGAGAGTGGCCGAATGTGGTACCGCAGCAAAAAGCACTGTACCTGTAGTCCGCAATTTAACCTTCCTAAGCCCTGCCCCTTTTTGCTCCAGCCTCTCCTCAGGGTTAGCGGGCGATCACACAGCGGCCACAACAGCTTGTCAAAGTATGTAAGGAAAACAACGACACCGTCAAATATGATGAACAAAAAAATAAAAAGGATTCAAGCCCAACAGCCCTGTGGCGCTCTCAGTCCAACGGCTAGCTGACATATACAGCGTTGGGGGCAGGGCTATAGTAAAGCCTATTGATTTGATTGGCAGTCTGGGCCATGTGTGACATTGACGAGTGGTGTAACTCTGCGTCTTGTGCTGAAAAGTTGAGGATGTTTTAGCTTTTATGTGCATCTAAAAAAACCGTACCATCGCAGTCCTTCCTGGAATTCTCCGGCTTTGTGCAGCTTAAATATCACAGCAACTTTTCTAAAAAACTGTGATTCACTGCAATTTTTTGCAATGAAACATCAACAATTTGTGCAGGAAACTATCAAATTTCCCTCGGGATAAATAAAGTATCTATCTATCTATCATCTATCTATCTATCAAATGTCAAACATGAACAAAAGTTGCGGCGATTGAACAAAACTGGAAGGTTGTGCAGAATTGACAGAGGTTGGTTGAATTTATGTTGCTGCGTTCATCAATCAACCTCCTGGATGTCACATTGTTGCATTTCTATCGATACGTATGTGTGCAATCAGATTTCTATTCACATTTTTGACAAAAAGTGGCATTTGTTCCACCGTGAACTGTAAAACCAGATACGTTAATTTAACTCAAAAAATTGGTGAAACTAATCACATCGAACATTTTTAGGAAAAAATAACTCAATTTTGTAAACTTAAAAAACGTTCTTTTTTAAAGTGACAGAGTTAGTTTTTAAATTTCTATTTGTGCTGTGAAAACAAAATACCCCAGAAAATCTTAAATTAGTGTCATTAACATTAATATTAAAAGCTGCTTAATCACGCATCTTTTTTACAAAATTGAGTTTGTGTTAGTTAAAGGTTTCAACAATTGTTTGGAGTTAAATTAACTAACAGTGTGTAAAGACCTCGATGCCTCTGGAAACAACCAATGTGTTCACCAGTCGTCCGCCAACAGAAGGTTAAAAGTGACCTTTACAATATAATCTCATTTTACAATCCTCGTATCAGAACACTAAACATTTTAACAATCATGTACATTTATTCACATATCTGCACAAAATACAAATATAGATTTATTTACGCTGTCTCTGTATCTGCAGAGTGTTTTCAGACATCATATTTATTCTCCTGCAGGAGCTTTACCATCCTCCATTTTGGCATCTTTACCTGCGAGACTCTGAAGTCAGGCTCAACCTGGATCTCCCTCCCTGACACAAACATCTTATAAAGTGGCAGGAAATCCAGTCTAATCCCTGCTGATCCACCCAAAGGTGTGACGGGAGGTAGAGGCCCCCCCGACTGATGCCAGGGAGCCAGAAGAATGAGGGGGTAGCCGAGGTCACTGCAGCCGAGCATCCGTGGAAAATGAAATAATGAGAAGTTTTTTGAGTAAATCTGGCACTTTCTGTAGTGTCTCACATCCTTTACACAGACGTTCCCTGCTCCTGGTCTCAACTTACTCAGGCTGGAAGATAAACAAGATAAAAGAGGGAAATTAAATGAATTTCATTTAATTTGCGTGGAGAAGGATCTGAAACAGACCAGAAATAATCCATGAAGCAATGGTTTGTGGGTAAATGGTTAATTCAGCTCAATGCAAAGATTTAACTATATTTTAAATGTTCAGGTCTGGGAACACCTTTTCCACCAACGCCAACCTAGTTCTGGTCTGGTTTCAATTAAGAATCTTCTAAGAACCGGTTTGATTTTCCACGAGTTGGAGAGCCACGACATTATGTCACTGTATCTCTAACGTTAGCAGTTTTTACCAAGGTTACGCTACCTGGCTGGCTGTTTGGGTAATGTTAGCTGACCAACCGCTAGCTACCTAGCTAACATAACAGCTAATAAATACATAGCTGGCCACAAGCCGCCCTCCTGTTCTTGGTTCCAGATCAGCTAAGTGTTGGTGCTGCACAACGGCATATTTAAAGATGGATGACATGACAGCTCTCTCCGTCTCCCCCTGGTGGCTGACTGCAGAATAGCTCATAAAGATGGTTTCTGTCATTCCGGGTCGTTCTTATCACGCTGAAGTGTTCATTTTATCATCAGTTTGGATTTAGTTAGTTTTTAAAGAATATAAAAGGAGGGTTTCACATCATGATTGACAGCTGAGTCCTGTTCGCCATCGAGTCGGCCGGTGTTTGACCTCAATACCATGGCGCCGACCTCGATCACTACTGCACAGACTCCGAATGAAGAAAGATGGCAACGTCCGTATCCAGATATTCTGGTTCATTAGTACAGTGGGAGGAAGTGGAGACGGCCATCTGGCGCTTCAAGAGCTGGTTCCAGATTAGGCTCCGAACCAGCCCTCTTGGTGGAAAAGGTGTAGGCACTTTGTCTTTGGCACTTCCTCAACCTCAAACCATCGATCCTCGTGTGACCACAGTTTGATTCAATCTGTGAGTTTGTTCATACGCAGCTCTCGTCCTTGTCTCTGTGTCTTTTATCCGGCCGACACTTCTCCGTTTCCTGTCCGGGTAAAGAGAAGTCCTTCACCTCGCCACTAGAGTGCGCATCTCCATTTCGTATCTTCTCAACGTCGCCCAGGGGCAGCTGGGTGGAGCTGTAGGCCAGCGGCGGGATGGTGTTCACCAGTATGAGCTGGAGAGGCTTCTTCTCTGGCTGGTACTGGCAACGAACATAGCGCAGGAACGCCGCTCGGTATGTTTTATTGAACAGCGTGTAGACCAACGGGTTCACGGCGGAGGACAAGTACCCCACCCAGACGAAAACGTTCAACAGGCCTACCATGAGTCCTGTGTTGCACACCGCCGGGTTGCACACCACCACCAGCACGTTGGTGATGAAGAACGGGCACCACATGACCACAAAGAGAAGAAACACCACCCCGAGGACTTTGGACGCTTTCTGCTCGTTGCTGATGGACTGCATGGTGCGGCGTCCGAACAGTGAGCCGGAAACGCTCCCGCGGGTGCCTCCCAGCCCGCTGCTGCTCCCTCTGCCGCCGGCCTCACGGCTTATGGAGCGCCTGAAGAGTTTCTCTGACGACAGCGATGTCTGCGGTAAGAAGCTCAGGGTGAAAGTCGTGCTCCATTTGGGGCGTGGGACCAGCTGGTCCAAGCAGAGTGTGGCTTCGTTCTGCAGCGCGTTGATGGTCAGGAAGTAGGTGACCACCATGATGGTGAGGGGCACGAAGAACGCCACTAAGGAGCCGACCAGCACAAAGTTGTTATCCGTCAGCAGGCAGCTGCCATCTTTGAAGACCTTGGAGTGGTCTCGGAGTCCGAGCACGGGAATCGGCATGGAGATCCCTGCGGAGAGGAAGCAGGACATTAAAACGTGGAAGAATCTGTGAGAGTCGGTAAATATTTGTGGTTGTTTGTGTAAGAGATTAGAAACAGTTGGGGAGATTGTCTGCAGCAACAGTGTGAAATCCCTCCATTGCAAATACAGTAGAAGAACTACGGAAGCCCTAGAAGGCAAGTTTCTTTTGGTTTTTGGTTTTTGGTCCATTAAACAAGTGAAACGTTATCTGTATGTTTATTGTTGTAACTCTCATTTCGACCAGAAGAAGCTGCAGGCAACCACGACCTGATGTTGTAAACGGGACTAAAAGCATGTTTTCTTCCAGGCTAGTTTTAATTTTGTGTTACGGACGATTAAAATACATTTCTAGCCAAAATAAACATGTGACAGTTACAGAACTTGCTAACAGACAATATGTACGTTGTGTTTAGAGTTAAATTAAAAGTATTATTTCATATGTTTTCACTAATAAATCAATAAGAAATAACTTGTCTTTCAGGGCCTCCATATAGTTCAGATTATTATCAACAAAATGTTAAGCAAAAATTAGTTGTTGACAACTTGTTTATGATGTTTCTGATGTAAAGCACCAGTGTAAACAGACTCTAGTACAACAGTTTAATCAATAACGGCATTAAAACAAACATTAACTGGTGATAAATATGGAATATAAAATATGTTTGTTTCCTGTGTCTATGAATGCTCTTAGTGTTAAATCATGTAGACATTTAATCAATGCAGACAATAAGTAACCAGTAATTACACAACTAATTGCACTAATGCAGCCAACAATAATTTATATGATGTAAACTGCTCTCATGA